GGTCCGAGCGCGCCCCCGGGCGGCGGCAGCTGGACGCACGCCCTGCGCCGGCGCCGCCGCAGCCGCTGCTGCCACCTCGCACCCGGGACGCCTGGAGACCCAGGGTCTGGCTCGGAGGCTTCTGCTGTTCCGTCCGACTCTGCTGTTCCTGGCTTCCCCAGCGAAAGGCCTGCGCAGCTCCGCGAGCTCTTCCTGCGGTGCCGCGTCCGTGCCGCCCGCGCGAGGCCCGGCCTCCTCCAGGCCCGGTCCCGGCCGGGGCACCCGCTGCCCGCTCTCGCTGTGCTCGCTCGGTGCCCTACAGTCTCCAATGCACGAGCGTCGCCTTGCATCCCCAAGTGCCTTGCAGATCTCCAAGCACCTTAGAGACCAGGTGTTACAGTATCACCGATACCTTCACACCGTGTAGAGAATCGCTGGATGCGGGCGACCTAGACACTGTGGCGCTAGTGGCTACAGTAGCCAGGCGAGGGCTGGAAATGTAGCTAACGGGGCTGCGGTGTGCTGCTGCCGTGCACGCTACACTGCGGATGTGCAAGACCCCCTCATGGATACTTTTTATATTGGCTACATGTTGAAAGGATAAATTGTAGCTATTTTGAGTTACTTAACTAGTTAATAGAGAATGAGCTACTTCAACTGATTAAACGATAAACTACAATCAGAAAAGAGTTTAAGGTATCTATTGATTGAGAAGCAATCCTGAACTTGTGAGGCCTAGGTTCCACTGATGTAGAATCAGCAGGAAAGAACAGTACTTAGAAAATGAATTGTCACTGTTGGCAGTTACTGGTTGATAAAATTATAGCACAATAACATTACAGACCAAAGAAAAAGAATTTTTAAATAACGCAATTGTAGTTAATCGACCCTAAAACGTACCCTGGAAAAATGCTTTCATGCAGTGCACATTTTTCAAATGAGAATGCATCTCACAGTCAATGACATCTTACGAATAATTGGCAAGGGCTCCCTCCCTTCCCCATAATGTAATTCTTGGCGATATGTAAAATAGTGTTGCATCTTACCTACATCAATTGCTCAATTTAAACATTTTGTTATATTCTGCATTTTCCCTAAATATTTTCTGGAACCGTACAACAATTTTACACAGTATAGCCGATGACACAGAAAATTAAGGTCCAAGAATGTTCAACATTCTTAAGACTTTAACAGTATTGCTGTAATTGAATATAAGATGCAGATAAAAGATAAGCTATATTTGAGACTAAATTAAAGAGTTTTCTTTGTTGACATACATTAACCATCACATCTCCTTCTCCTTCAGCTTAAAAAATTAAATCACAGAGGGAGGACAAAAGTAACTAGGTGGCCAGGGATGCAGCTCAGTGGCACAGTGCATTTCCAAAGAAGTGACTAGGTGTGGTTAGTGTTAGTAGAAACAATGGAAATGAGTGAGTCCCTCCCTCCATTTAATTCTAAACAGTACCCTGCAGTCGTTCCTGGTTCCATTGTATTAAGAGAGGTAGAAAATAAAACAACAAAAGCTCAGGAGATGACTGATGCTCTAGCACAAGCTGTTCGGATCACCTAGCCTGGCCTTCTGCCACCTTTGCCTTCCTGCCACCTCTGGATAAGTTCACAAATGTGTACTACCTGTTATGGATGCAGTTAAGATCAGCATGAATTCTGGAACAAACCTTGCTAAGCCCCTAGGATGACTCAGCACCCTGCCAAGCAAATGAGAGATCCAGTGTGAGGCACCTGAAGCTGAGGTGTGTGTTCAATTCTGCAAGTCTGATTTGTGTGTATCTTTTTGTTGTTCTTTCTCTGTGGCTGAGGCTATCTTTGTGTGCTGTGCCCTGAGTGCAGTGCTTTTCTGTCACCCTTGTATCTTTTTCTTTCTATGCCTTATCTTATTTGTTGCTGTGGACTTGCCCTGAGCATTACTTCCCAGTGATCAATAAATGTAGCTACTACGTGAGGCTAAGGCAGAAGGCTGGTCACAAGTTCAAGACCAGCCTGGGCTACAAAGTAAGTTCAAGCCCAGTTTAAACTATATAACAGAACCCCACCTCAAATAAAACTAAAGAAGTATAATAACAATTTTTTAAAAAAATGTACCTGCTTGCTACTTACGCCTGGGTGTACATGGACTGTTGGTCCGTTCTGCAACAGTAGATAGTCTGCTTATGTGAAAGGCCCTGAATTAGAGCACGAGCAACTCCTTCCTGCAAAAACAGAGAACAAACAAAAACAGCCAAAAGTAGTGACTGTGTATTAGTTCACCTAATCATAACCTAAAGACCTACAACAAACCCTGTGCTCCGTTTGACAGAATCAATCTCATAATTTTGATTTCAGTATTGAGCATGTTTTCTACCGTTGTCATTATTCAGCAATCTTTCATGTAAACCTTTTTGAACACTACACAATTTTCAACCCCACAAGAACTTTAGAAACAAAGGTAAAAAGGTGATTCCCCCAATAATTGAGTAAATCTGCAGTTTGAGAAACAAAATTAGAATCAATTGACCTGAAATTTGTGGTGCTAATGTCAAAAGAAACAATGATTCTTGTCTTTTTTTTTTTTTTTTTCTCTTTTCTAAGTATGTTTAGAATTGGTAGAAAAATACCTTGTTTACTTACAGGTTCAGGTGTTTAACTTACTTTGGTCTATCGCCAATGAAATGGTAACTTTGTAACCACCTTCAGTTCTCATGGTACTCTGTTACAGTAAATAACCTTCAAGTGAAATAAAGGTCCAAGGCAAATTGTCAGTTGAGGGCCTGGGCTTGTTGATAAAGGGCTGGTGTAGTGCGTTTATAAGTGTGGGTGTGGTCCAGAATAAAGCCGGTGGTTCCCTAGAGTGCATATCTTCTCAGTGAGTTTGCTCTTACCAGATGTCTGAGTGAAACGTGTTTTGCCACAGTTCCCTTTCTTTTAAAGTTTTATATTTGCTTTTATTGTAATCCATAGTGTGCTAGGTTGAAGCACTCTTTTTTTTAAAAAAAAAAAAATCAGGTCTTATATTGTTGTAGTCAGCTAAATTAGAAATATTATAGGCAGTCAGACAGGGCTAGGCCCTCAAGGAGACAAGATGGAAGATAAGATGACTTTGCGACTTTGGAAGAGAGAGACCCTCCCACTTGTGGGCCAGGCCTGAAGACAAAGGAGTAAACAAATGCAGTCACATACTACACTAAGGATGGGCATCAGGGATTGATATTCTACATAGGTATCAATCACCTTGAAAGAGCCCAAATGAGTCACTAACTCAACCCCCAACAGGAAGAGACCCTGTCCCATAATCATGTCTGCTTGCTACTTGACGCAATTCCTCATTTGGTGCTGGATTTAATCAATTTTACCGGAGCAAGGTGCTTGTAATCTCATTGGTTGACCATAGTTTTGTTCCACCTCATGCCCATCTAAGCAAATTTCCATGGTTTCCACCTTAGACCCGCCTCATCTCATGGTTTTACACTCTAGAAGTACCTGGGAAGAGACAGCTTCCTTGGGACAGCCTTCTCGGGTCCCCCTTCGGACAGAAGCTTTCTTTCCCCTAATAAATATATTCTGCTCTTAACCTCCGTTTGTTCCTAAAATTCATTCTTCAGTTTTAAAGAGTACAAACTCGCCCCAGGTACCTTTCAGGTTGGGGGTTTCATTCCCCGTGTCAGCGCTACATAGTGCAAGCTGGGTTGGAGCTCATTTATGTAGCACAGGTTGGCCTCAAACCCATGTTGGTCTCCATGCTGGGACTACAGGTGTGCACCGCCATGCTCAGCACTAATGCTCATTTTTGAAAGAAGATAAATGTAGGCAAAAGACTGCCAAAGATGCCCTATGCAAATAACGACTCTTTTCAAATGGTTTCTAAAATTTCTTTCTTTTTAGATATACCTCAAGCCTGTTTATTTAGTAAAGTCTGCAGTGTTGAAACCATCACCCAGACGATGTGCGCATGCTTGCATGTGTGTGCGTGCGTGTGTATGTAAACAAACTTCTTAAGTTTGTTGTTTGTGTGGAGGGTTGCATTTAGCACAAGTCAGTCATATGCCAAGAAAAAAGTCTTCAAATGTCAACTGGATTTTCTTTTCCTCTCTCTCTCTCTCTTTAGTGTATTTGGTACAGGGCCTCACTATGCAGTTTGGACTCTTAGTGATTCTCCTATTTTCAGCCTCCCCAGCACTGGGGTTTCAGACATGCACCACCATGCCAGGTCTCGGCGGCCAGCTCAGCACACCCAGGTCAGGGCCGGCACAGCATATTTTACTGGGGATCAAACCCAGGTTCTTGCACTTGCCTAGGCAGACCCTTAGGCTGCTGAGCTGGCTCTGTGACCCTTCAACTTGACTTTCATAACAGTCATGAAATACATAATTGGAAGCCAAAAAGATTAAGTCAATCCTCTTGGTGGTATACCTGCTAAATAAGGAGGATGGGTTTTGAATGCAGTTCTGTCAGACTTCAAAGCCAATGCTATTCGTATAAATAAGTACAGTGTGAGTTAATTCAAACAACATACAGTAGATGTTCAATCCTCAAAGTTCCATTTACACAGTAGATTTCTGTAATAATCTGAGGCTTAGGAAACTATTTTTGTTTGCTTTTTTTTTGTACCAGGAATTGAACTCAAGGCTTGTGCTTTCCAGGCAGACTTTTACTGCTGAGCTATATCCTCAGAGAGGAAACTATGTTTTAAATA